TCATTTAGTTTTAAAAAGGGGGGGGGGAAGGTGTATCCTTCATCCCAGATGGGCAGTGGTCCTCCTGGCCACTGATGCAGTCTAGATTTCTAGCAGGGTAGTGGAGACAAGAGCATTCTGGGGCTGGGGACTGGAATGTCCAGAGATGAACCTGAATCACATCTGTGATGGAGTCCCAATACATGTTCTCCCAAAGAGGCACATACTGGATATTGCAAAATTCAGATTTATTGTTGTCTGACAGTATCATGATGTGGGTGCTGCTGCACTGTAAACTATCCTGAATATTGGCTGAGGGGGATGTAAGAAAGGGGTTTCCTTCTGTTTATCTGGAACATGGCTTGGTCTTCTGTATGTCCAAGTGAGATACTGATCTTCATTCCTGAGGTTTAAATCCTTTGCAAGCAATCTTAATTAGGAGGAGGAATATTGGTTGATTAATATCCATTTATCCCTAGCTAGTGTGCACTTCGTTATAAAGCATCCAAAGGTCTTTAAAGCCCCCAGACATACACCTTTAACTTTCTGCCTTCTATTGAAATTGTGAGACTTGACATTACCTCAATGTACTCCTTTTTGTCTTTGGATACTCTTTATAGCAGAGGTGCTCTTTTTAGTCCTTACTGGGAATGACTAGCAAAATTAGGACTTTAGGACCTCTTGTCCAGCACCCTGGAAGGCAGACATCTTGCTTAGCGGGGAAGACATTGCTGCTGTGAGTACACGTGTGTGGGAGACCCTGCTAAATATGCCTGCTTGTTTCCAGAACCAGTCTGTATAGAAGTAATAAAATAAATTTCCAGGGAAGGATTGTACACAAGTCTCCCTTTAGATAGTTCAGGGCTGTCTTCCCCGAGCCAATGCTTCGCAACATGTTGGAGTACAGTTCCCATCATCCCAGTCTTTGTAGCCTTCCCCATGGATTGGGGAAGGCTGCCACATGTTATGGCAAACTTGTTTTCTCTTCTGTATACGTTAAGTTCATGTATGGAAAACAGTACGTGACATCTGGGGAAGGGTATTGTGTAGCTGCATAGCGCCCTTTCTCTCCAAAGCGTATGGATATTCCTGGTACGATGCAGGGGTAGCGCTCTGATCAGCGTCAGGCAATCGCTAGGCGTTCTGTGTTCTTTGTCCCAGTGAGTCGTTCAGAGCAGTGAATTGATCGGGTCCATCATGTCTCAGTCTGAAGGAGCCATCTCTCCTCAGACCTTCAGTCTTCTTGCACAAGATTTAGAAACTCGCTGGGAGTTGAACCGAAGAAAAAATTGTATACATGAATAGGTGCTTTGCGATATATTTGTGTGGGTGTGTGTGTATAGTAAATAATCTGGGCTGTGAGAAATATGAAAAGACAAAACTAGCAGGGAAGAAGCACTTCCAGCCTTTGAGTATTGCTAGCGAAGGAATTGGGAAGGACTCTGTACATCCTGGATCATCCTTAAGTGCTTCCTGAAGACTGAATCTCTTAAGCTTGTTTGGGATAACATGACTGGCTTCTGCTCAAGACATTGAAATGTTAGGGGTGTGATTTTAGGCCATGGGCGGGGGGGATTGCAGGATTCTTAAATATAAAAGCCGGTTTTCTATATATAAGAAATTTGAAAGTAGAGTACTTGCTGGGATTCTTGTGTTGCTGGTTGAACCTCTTCTTAATAACTGTTACTGATCAGAGCTCTGAGAAACGTCTTCTTGGCATTAGCCTCTTCCAGTCCAGGCTGCTCCCAGAGAGAAGCGCAACACCCGGGTGGAAATGAGGCATCTCACCCCCCTTCCCACTCTTAAAAGCACGGAACGGTTCCCAGCCAGGGCCAACTGCCCCAGCCGTTCCTGCTGTCTTAACCCCCTTCCTGTGACTTCCTCTGTGCCCCTCCAGCTGGCTGGCGAAAGAGTTGCCCAGCCCTAGCTCCCAGTACAAGGCTTGGCTCCACAGCCTCCATTAGAGCATTTCTGGCCATTGTTGCAGCCCAGGAGAGGTTGCCTCACCCTAACTCAAGGCAATGTGGAATTCACAAACTTGAGGGCTGGCGTAGTAAGTTGTTTTCAGTAGGGAGGAGAGGAAACAACAGGGAAGTTCAAAGAAGAAAACCTCTTCTGCTTGAGACAAGGAAATGCAAGTTTTCTGCTCCTTTGCTTCTAGGTAAATTTGGCCCCTGTCCTGGAAACGTAACTGCTGCGGGGCTCCTTCCTGTGGATTTTTATTTGGTGCCATGCCTGATAGATTGCCCTTATTTTGCCCTTACAAGGGGTCTAATGTAGCTAGCGGGGAATATTAAGCTTGCCTTCCCCAAGGCAGGAAGAAGAAATTCAGGAAAAAAAATATGGCTCTCCTTTTTCCACTTTCCACCTTGCAATAATTTTAAGTGGAGGATTCCCAAGGTGGGGGGAGTCATCTCTTCAAATCAGTTATAAAACCCGCAGACTTAGTCTCAGCATGGAGTGTCAGCTTTAATTATCTGGGCAGTTATAGCTGTATGTTATAAAAGTCAGGCAATTAGATGCATTCCTTAAAGCTGTGAAAAAAATGGCTGGCTATCAAGAAAAGAAAGAAACAGAATCAAACATATAGCTGTTAATTGCATGGAGCATTCAGCAGAAAAATGGTGTGTATATCACATTGCAAAATATTGTGAAAGGAGAAATGATTAAATACATTAATCTGTTTGGGAGTGTAGACATCTCAGATAAAGGTGTTCTTTCTCAATGAATGTGTCCAAAGCCACTCACAGGATGAGAGGAAGGATCTGTAATATTCAGCAGAGGCAAAGAAGAGACTCCGTCACTGCGGCCGCCATCCGGAGTGGTGAAGAGGTAGGCCCAGCGGCCATCATCTCCAGCTCTCCATCTCAGGGAAAGGGCTGCATAACTGCACCTGCCATGATGAGGGAGCTCACGGGGGCAGAGATGCCACAGTAAAGTTCCTGCAGAGCTGAGCCGAATGCTACTGACGACTCAAGCCAGCGAGCCAAGCTGTATTTTGCAATGGTGGGATAGGTGTTTCTCTGACTGGGAAGAAAAGGGGCACAGCACAGCAGCGTGCATGCAAGGACAGTGAAGTGCCGGGGGTTGGCCCTTTAGGGTAGAAATAAAAGTAACACGTTTAACCTGGAGGAAGGCAGTTGATGGTGGCAGAACACGAACCAGATCTCTGCTTGGGGCTGAGGAGAAGGAACCAGCTGGGCCAGAGCACAGGCACGCGGCAGGGGAGGAAGATGGCCAGAGCAGAGAGATCTGGGGCAGCAGTGATCAGCTGGCATAAATGAGTCCCGTCCTTGTGAATCCCTGAATCCATCCAGATTGAAAGCGTGGGTCGATCCACGCTTCCTGCTTGCCCCGGTGCCAGGGCGGCCTCTACCATTTCCGGAAGCCAGGCGTAGAGGTCACTGGTGCAGGCGGTCCAGTCTGCCTGCTGGGCTTCGTTGCGCCTCTACAAATGCCCCCTCCCGGTGGCTTGCTGTGTCTGTCGGTTGGCGGGTCTCTCTCTCTCTCCTCTCCCCCCAACCCTGGCCCCGAAATCCCTGCTCCCCTCACGCATCGCCCATTTTGTGCTGGGCTGTTGTTGGACTGCCTGCTGGGGAAGGCTGGCTCTCTGCATTTCTGCTTTCGCTCGCTTGCTTGCTTGTTTTTACACGTTCAGAAGTGGACACAATGCTGGCTGGTTCTTTACTCTTTTCTTTTAACTGGGTGGCCTTGATCAGGGTTCTGCCAAATTTCCCTTTTGAGCCCAAGTGACAAGAAAAGCTGTAAAGCTGGGCGGGGGGTTGTTTTTCCCCAGTCCTCAGGAGAGATGCCCACCCAAGGGAAGCCCGTTGGCACTTGCTTTTCTGGCATGGCAGGAAGGGAAGAAGCAGGGGGATCCACCCGTAGGGGCTGGATTAACCATGGTTGCAACCAGGCCATCTCTGTAACCACAGCGGAGGAAGGAGTTGAAATCCAAGAAGGAATCTCTTAAGCCACTTTGGTTTTTCCCTGATTCACGCAAGGGAGAGAAGCCCTTGGGGGAACCCTGCTCCACCTTGTCTTGGAGACCATTGGGTAGGGAAATGGCCAGCAGGACAGCCAAAATCTGGGTACTGAGAGGGGCAAAGGTGGATCCCTCCCCCCCGCACTCCTTCAGAAATAAAATTCTGCTTTAAAACCTGAAATCTATGAAATATTATTCCTAGAGACAGATCAAAATGGCACGTCCAGTGCAATGGCACCTGGTTTCCTAGGTGGTTGTGCGATTTTGTAAATCTCCCTGTTGCATTAGCGAACTGAAAAAGCAGGAAGAACTGTTTTCCTGTTTCTGACCACCTTTGGGTCTAGGAAGTTCATGGATATTGTGTGACCATGGTACTTGGTTAAATGTAGTTTGCTGTTCGGTGTGTGTAGACGAATAGTGATGTTTTGTTCACTGTCCATCTTTTCTTAACTCCTACTTTGCCAAAATCTTTATTAGGCCTACTTAAGGTCACAAAATAGTGAGTAGGCTTTCGTTTTCTCCAGACCATTTTGCCAGGTATGGTGGTAAGCTGTGCTTTAAAAATAATAATGGAGTATTTGGAGCTCTGTACAGATATTCAAGCAAAATGAAACTTGCACGTTAGAAGTTAAACAGGTCTCTGGTGCTTTAGTTAGGCAGAAAGAGGAGTAGGCCACAGCAATGGAAAATAGGCCCTCTCAGGAGCTGAGTTTGTTCTAGGTCAGTGCTTCTTCAACCCCCCCCCAATTAGAAAGATCTTGGAAAAGTGTGTTAACAACGTCATCTCTTTCACTTGC